ATCAGTGTGGGAACAAGTTTGGAGCCTGTATGAGGCTGTGTAAGAATACTTTTAGGAAAGGTATGTTTCAAAGGTAGCACCACCTTTCCTTGAAATGCTACCACAGAGAGAAATCACAGACACAAAGAAGTTATCCACAAAGGTATCTCTAACCAGAGCTTTTCACCAGTGATTAAAAGCACTGTGTTCACCTTCAAAAGGTACAAACAATCAGACACCCCCATCACCCTCCAAAATAATTTAAAAAAAAGTGCTCATTAATGATCATTTAGCTTTTATACATCCCATGAATCTGTCAGGAAGTTCAGTGATCTTCTCATACAGACTTATTTTGATCTTTCAGGAGCATCATTCCTAACTCTCTATAAGTAATTTCAAACTTCTGCTCATTCTGGTTCTCCTCGGCTAGCCATTCTTTCCATATCCGGGAACCAGAGAACTGAAGCAATGAGACCTGAAGCAGTCTGAGCTGTGCTCTTATCAGAGACTTCTATCAGTTGCTCCAGAAGTGAAAGAAAATGTCTCACTACCCAGGAAATTATCTATATCCTAGGATTAAAGCTCTTTTAAAAGTGTGTGCTGCATATCTTGTAATTACTCTTGTAGTGAATCCTGAAGGCAGTAGATAAATAACGCCCCATGGGAATCGTGGTATCAGCAAATGTTACTGGCCCAGCGGCAGCTTACTAGGGTGGTCACCTCTCCAATGGAGCAGCAGCAGTGAGCACTACATACGTAGAAGTCAACCACCAAATCACAGACAGCAGGTTTATTTGACCCTGAGGAAGGTACCTGCCTGAATCGTAAGGTAAAAGAAAACAAGGAGAGAAAGGTAGCAAGGATAGGTTAAGAAGACGGGGCTCTGAGCCAATGAGCGAGTCTCTAAAAAACTGCAGTGTTTTCAGTGTAACGGCTGCTGTAGCTGCCACGCTGGCGGATGACCTCTCATGCTCTGTTACTTGTGTTTGTCTAATGCATGTGTGATCTGATACGCACCCTGAGATGAAGCTAGCATAATGGTCAGTGATGCCGACCAGCTTCTGCGTGATGGCTAATCCGCTCTCAGGCTGGGAGAGGTACCCTGGTGGTTTGGGATTGAAAGGAGAGTCATTAACCTTCATCAGTAAAAGGACAGGGCCCAAGTGTAGCTGGGGCTCTGAATGAGGTAAAAGAAGAAAAGCCAGAAGCTTCTCACTTACTTAAATATATTTGAACATTCTGAAACCCTTAAGACAAGAGAAAGATAGACAGTTACTGCATTTGGGAGGTAGGTTGTTTGTTTTGTGTTGGTTTTTTTTGTTTGTTTTTTTTTCCCCTAACACTGTACACATTTGTGCTTTATACATGAAGTTATAGTGCAAACCTTACTGTGTATTAGTGCGGTTGCTGGTCCATCCCCAGACACAGGTCTGAGTAGAAGGCTAATCACTGTGCTTGGCAAAAATAGCACTGTTACAGCAATGAAACTAATCTACTCTTTTGGTTAAGAGGTAAGGAAGGGATATCTAAGTGTGTCCTTCCCTGAGCGTGGGAAGGAAAAGGATGATAAATTAAATCACGGTGCAGTCAAAAGCTCTGTCCAATGCCGTTGTGAACTTCTGTATCTTTACATCTGGTTTAGACCTCATAAAAGTTCAAGTGTAGACCAGAAAGATCGTATCTTCTATAACTTTCTGGAAAAGAGTGCCATTAATCTAGGTACAAAAATGTCTTCCGATAAAGAGTCCTACCTCATAAAACAGGCTAGCACCATAATCAGTCTCAGAAGAAAAAATGTTCTCCTTCAGTAATCCAATGTCTCTGTCTGATGTGGAAAATCTCATGCAAAATAATTGCCAAATATTAGCTATGTTTTAGAGATACTGCATATAGTGCCTTTAAAGACACATAATTATTCTATTAAGCAAATCAGTCTTACACAGATCACACTGTTGTTCCCAGACTTCTGGGAACAAACTGAAGAATGGAAATTGCCTGTCCTATTGGATGTTACGAATTTCTAAAAAGTGTTTTCATAGCATGAACAAAGTATCACAATGGGAGATACTGAAATTCTGCGTTGTACCCAGTGATTAAAAATTTATAGCAGAACCATCGTATATAGTCAGAATAAGCATTAATGGATTCAATCCAAATTAAGTATCATTTCTTGTAAAACTATGTAGGGACTATTCAAAAGCAGAATGTAATTATAAATAATGAGGAGGTCTGAGGATGGGCACAGATACTTTCAACAATACACGTAATACAAAATATGATATTTTATGGGGAAAAAAAAGTAAGAATGTTTTACATTTGCATCCATCTTGCCAAATTTATCAACAATCCTTTGTTACCTTAACCCTTTGTTAGATATAATTTTTTAGTTTTATGCTTCTGCTGTTTAAAAAGAACTACAGCACATTTGATAAATTAGTGGTGGGTCAGGAAACTGGCACATGAGCTGAAGCCAGGACAAACATTTGGTCTTTATTCTATACAATAATTTATTGTGTTGGGAAACTTCCCGTTATTGATCTGTGTGCTGATTAACAAGACTCTGGGCAGCGGTATCAGATTTTTTTTTAATCAGTTATCAGGCTGATCAATTGGAAGTGTGCTGAATTCAGCAGACAGAGGGAAATATCAATTCCATCATTTGAGAAAGCAGATAGATGCCTTCTGCAGCACTGCACTGGACTGCTCACCTCAATCCCAAGAGGACAAATACAGCCAGTAACAGGTCCTGAAAGGAGCTACTCCGATCAGCAGTTGAAAGCGGGTATCATCTCTTCTGAGAAGAGGCTAAAAATGCTTGTCTTGTTCAGTCTGGTGAAAGAAAAGGCTGGAATGGGAACTTCTCTTCTCTGTAAATATGTTCATGGTTTAAGCAATCTCAGGTTTTTAACCCAAAAGATAAAGTTTACACAAAGTCACGATGTGGAAAATTTTCATGACTGAATTAAGGCTGAAAACTAGAAGAAGGTTTCTAATTTTCACAAGGTTAGAGCTTACAACAGTTTCCTGGTAAGATTAATGGGAATAAGAATATGGTTGGTTTTAATAAAGAATGTGATCATTTAGGAAAGAAGTTACTTGACGAGACTACCTGCTATAGCAGTGAAAAGTACTCTGGTAATCTATCTGGATTAGTAGTGAACTAAAGAATGTATGAAAATACTAGCTGCTCAGAATATTTTATTTTAGAGCATGTTTTTCTTGTAAAGTATATTATTGATATCCTCTCAACCCTGTTTTTAAGGTTTTGTAAGAGAAAAATCAAACTACACCCCCATTAGGGAAAAAAAGATCTGGTGGTACTTTGAAATAGTACTGCCAAAAGGGGAATAAAACCTGGTTGAAAGGAGAAAAAAAAGCACTTGATTTTATACGGAATCTTTCTGGTTTCTACTGGCCAAGGGTTTCCTTTGTAATGATGTAAAAACAAAATGCTCGACAGAGCTACACACAGACTAGGCAATGCAAAGATCTGCCCCAATACTAACCATAGTAAGAGTAATAAATGAATGCATATGTCCACTGTATCAACTTCGGTCTAAGAAATCAGTTGTTAAAAACAAAAATGTCAAGCATGTTTTAGATTTTGTAAGACAAAATGAATTCACTTTCATAGTACATGAGACCGATCGGTAACGAACTTACATAGCATACTGTAGAAAGTAAGTATAACATAATGATATGCAACAAACAAGCAACTAACCAACCAATTAGCTTGTGTGGTTCCATTTTCCTGAATTTTTGCTGAAAATAAACTTTTCTACAGCTTTATGTTCTCCTTGAAAAGCAGCATGAGACTTGTGGTGGTTTTCTGTTATTTGGAGGAGGACCTTATACAGCCAAGGAGTTCAAAATCATCCATATGGCAGGATACAGGGAGGATCTCTGAAATGATGTGTAAAAATAAAATCAGATGAAATCATTCCGCTCAAAAGTGTAAAGCTGTCAGGAATATAAGGGTACGATTTTTCCGGATTATACAGGTATGGTTTTTAGTGCTTTTCCTCTAAACCACTGATGCTTAATTGCAGAACTAATAATCAGTTTTCCAGGAAAGACAGTGGGGCACAGAGATCACAGGGGGCTGTATGTATGTACTGCAGATTTAACAACACCAGGGTGTGATAGGCAAAACCGCTACATTTGCATTGCAGTGCACTTTGTTTGGTAGAATAAACTTCTATAAATAGCACAGCAGACTTGAAAACCGTGTTGGAGAGCAGCTGACCACACACATGGACTGTTTCACAATTTTGTTCCCTAACCATCCTGTTCCCAAAGCAAAAAAGAACGCTGTCGTTCAGGCAAGTCTTTGAACCTACGCTGTGAATGCCTTGCAGACGTGGTAGTTACTCACAACCACGTCAGAAAATCACGTGCTGCTCTCTGTTCTCCTCCAAGGCATTTATTTTTATGGAAGTCAACCAGGAAGAAAGAAAAAAGTCCTTCATATGTCTTAGATAAGAAATGCACCCTTGAGCTGCTTTATTTCAGTACAAGCATTCAGTATATGGGTGCATGCATCCATTAAAACACGTGCAGATCCACAGGCATACAGAACAGGTTGTAGAAAAGCAATCATTCTTGGCCTGATGATCTTAATTAGGGTAGTTATTTTCCACTCTCTCTATAACCATCCGCTGAATAAAAAGGGAAGATGAACATGGCAAAACTGCAAGTCAGATGCACAAATCGCTAATTCCTCGTGCTGTCTGGAAGAGAAGCAAGGTGTTAAGAGATGTTGAGAGAGTGGCTGCCTTCTCCAGATAACGCACTGCCTTCAAAAGCACCCACAGGTAGGGCTCACATAAAATACAGATGGGCAATTCCCCCGCTCTTGGGCTAAGAGACAGAAGGTCACTAGTGCAGGCACACACATCACGCTCTCTGGGTTCGTAAGCACACGTGCATTCGTGGATCCCCTGAGCACCAGCATGACCCCTCTGCCTGCCCGGCACCCTGCCTGCATCGCAGCCCTCTTGCCTGCCCCACGGGTCTCCCACTTGCGGGTTGGTCCAGCTTGATGCTCACTGCATACACCCACACGCTCACACACTCATCCCTCAGACACGCCATGTTCACAAGTCCCTGCAGACACAGCAGCACTGCCCCCCTGCCTGCCTGATACCCCAGACCCGAGGCCCCCTTACTCACTGGCTGGTCCAGCTTCAAGTTTGCTGGTGAGCACATACACACACACACCCCCACACACACCTGGCTTGGGGGACATACAGACCCTCTTCCCCAGCAGCTGGCACCAGGTACCCCAGCTATGACCAGCATCTCTCCTCCAGCCACCGGCACAGAGCCTCTCACCTGCCTCTCTCACCCCTGTAAAGGACAGACTGTTGTGACCACGCACAGGGCTCAACCAGACAAACGCACTGACTGGACCCATTTTGCATCCGACCAGCCCCCTTTAAACCCTATTTTGCCTACCCCCCTTTTTGTTCCTCCCTGCTCCCCTTCCCCTGCACGTCCCCCAGGGGTTTCTACAGCTCTGCCCACTCCCACACCCCTCCCTGCCTGGGTATCCCCTGGCTTGCATGCCTAGCTGTTGCAAAGTCCAGGTTGATCTTCCTGGAAGTGCTGCCAGTAGTTTCTTGATAGCTCATCAATTAGTTTGGTTGGGGTTTGTCATTGTTTTGCAGGTCTGTATCTCTGTCTATTTATTTCTGGTTCCCACCTTTTCCCAATGGGAAAACCTTGCTGGAATAAACCTTCCCACACTCTCACACGCCCTCATCAATCAATGTGGGTGACCAGGTTTGGGTCAAATCACTGCATTTCTTACCATTCGTCTGTCAGGTTTGTGTCCCTGTATGTTTTGTTTATGGCTTCATCCTTCTCTTATTGTCTCTTTTCTTCATTGAAGAAGGTCCTTGACCAGATGCCCTTAAAGGAGCAGACACTCTCCTCCCACTTACCCTTACACAAGTATCAGAGTATGCACTGGCAGATCTCCAGGAGATGGAGACAGAAAGTAATCATACTTTCCGTTTTCAAACTAAACTTTGTTGTTGTTATTCTGGAGTGATCTTCACAATTACTATTTTTTGAGTACAACCTGAAGGAAAAGCAGTGTGACCTGATGAATCAAGTACTGTCATTGAAAAGCTTCAGATCCAGCTGGGTGAAAGGGAACAATGTCCCAGTTTGCTTTTTTTTTCACCCATCAATTTTCTTATATTGAAAATACGTGGTAGAAATGTATATTGTTTGTGTCATAACTTTGACCCACTCTTTAGGATAATTCCACATGTGCTGAGCTTACACAGGAAAGGCAAGGTCCTTGCATCTTTTTAACAACTTGGGTTGGTGACAGCTTGCTGTAGCAAGGACTTACAGAGAGGGCAAGTGGTGAAAGAGATCACAGAAAGAAAAACCACCACAGGTGCCACCTGTATTTACAGGAAATTGGGCCAGGCAAAGACATTAGTTAAGACCATCCAACAGAAAGTTTGATCAGTTTTTCATGAACTCTTGGCTGTGATCCCCCTGTTTCCCAGGAAAGGTGGGTTGGTTTCCGCACACTTAATTAATATTGAAGTTTGTTAACACAGAGAGGATTCCTCTAATTCCTCTGTGAGGTTTGTTCAGATCAGCTCAACTTCATGGTGCAGATAAATAGCAGTAAAAATGAAGAAGAAGATTCAAGCTGTCAACTGGAGAGATCCAGGAGAATTTAACATCTGAAAAGTATCTGGCTTATCCAGTCTGGAACGAGGCTTTAAGAGGAACCAGAAATTAATCTGAAATAAGAAAAAGAAGAGGTATAATCTGGAGGTGTGGTTGATCTGTGAACGATTTTGCTTTTCTGAGACACCATATACAAATTAAGATATCCAAATGGGACTGGCAATAAATGAAGGTATGTAGGCACACAGCTACCTTTGGACAGGTGCATTTTGGTCTGCTGAAGGAAGCTGACTATGTTCAGGCAGGGTCTGCAATTTGTAGCAAGCAGAGTGGGGAACAAGAAAGTTTGAAGGGCATCCTTGGGGATATGCTGTTTCCAGATATTTGAAAGACACAAGGCATAGCACTGATCATCACTGGCCAAAGGGGGTGGCCAACTATGTTGCTACCACACTGCCACCCGGTTTGCGAATAGCTGGATAATAAGGTTAACATTTCTACCAGTAAGAAACAGATCCCAGGACTCCCCTTTTCCTGAAGGAGCCTCATCACTGGCCTTCACAGCCAGGCTGCCTCTCCCCCTGGCCAGATGCAGCTTCAGCGTGGGGGAACAGGGAATGGGAAGTGCCACCTCCTCAAACCCTTCTGCATACATGCACATTTTCTGTCTGGATTGGAGCCGCTTGCTTAACAACGAAAGTTTTGCTCAGGAAAATGTATAAGGAAAGGCTAGGATCTCCATGCTTGGATGCTTTTTTGGGTTTTGGCCTCTATACATAGCTGCATTTATGCTATTTGAAATCTGTTATTATTTCTTTTCTGTTCACTTTTTAGGGCCACACTGAAAGTCACACTTTTGTACTTCAGCGGGAAGATGGGCAGAACTGAGAGAGAAGGTATTTTAATTACTGAAACTGTGAAACTTCATTGCAGCTGGTGGACACGGCTGCAGTCCTGCATTGAGGGCATGCACGATTCTTACAGCTGAAACAGCAGGAGCTGCTGCTCAAACACAGGCCACTGCAAGTCAGAAACTGAGATTTGTGAATGTGGTAGCAAGGGACATGTGACTATGAGCAGATATCCCTGCAGAAACACTACTCAGAAGCACATGGAGACCAGGAGGGAAAGACAGAAAAAACCCAAACCATGAGGAGAAGAAAGAATTAATAGGGAATAAAACAAAGAACAGGAACATTTTAGGAAGAATGCTGCTTTGGAAAAAGCTTGAAGATATGAGAAAAGACATTTCTTCTTGTTTGAATCTTTCAATGTTCAGATTCTGGTAGAAAAGAAACCATGACTCAGTCTCAATTTGTGCTTATAAAGGAAACTAAAATGACTATAAGTTTCCACAAGCTAGAATCAAAAGGAGTAAATATATATTCAGTAAATAACAGCAGATATGAGATAAACAATGGAGACCCGAGACAGCCCTTCATACACAGTGGGTCTTGTTAATATAAAGTAAAGGTGAACTTGCTTTTACTCTACAGTTCAAGGATGAAGTCTTTATTTTCATACTGGTGTCAAAACGCCAATAATATGGCAAGGAGAAAAAAAGTGCTCTATTTCATTTTCTTCCTTTTTCTCCTAAATGTAAAATTTAATACATGTTAAGACATGTAATGACAACCCACTCAGATGTTAAACCATGAAATGAAAGTGCCCCAGAAGAGACTCCCTTTCAAAGAATTTTCTTTGTCAATGCAGATACGTTAGGCCAAGGCTGAAGTTTAGTAGCAATTTTGGGCTGCAAAATGGTTCCTGTACTTTCTGTCAACTTTTTTAGCTTCTGGGTGGAGGCCAAAAACGCGTCTGCCTTTTTTTGATATTTGTTTTTTGGCAGCCTGCCGTGCGCTGAGATGTTTCACTGTGTGCTGCGAGCCCAGCCTCAATGTGCTGTCAGTGCAATATATATATAAACACACAGCAGAGTTCTGAAGAGGGGAGCATGATGCATTTGTGCTGTGCCTGCTCTGCCTGCGAGGGGGTTTTCTCTGGCTGATAACGCATGAATAAAGCTGTAGGTTACAGAAACGTGGAGTGGGTCTAAAAGGAAGCCAAAAGTAATGACTCATTTTTTAAAGGCAGGAATGTAGTCCCGGAGGACTGTGTTCATTGCCAAGTCTTTGAATAATTTTGACCAAAGAGGAAGCGAGTATTTTTTCCTCAAGAGATGGAAATGATAGAGAAGCACTTGCCTATTCTGTTTATTGCTATTCTGAAAGATCAGTGACTTGGCTGGCAAAATGGAGTCAAGGGGCTCAATGTTATTTTTTGTGCTGGCACTTCAAGATATTAAGCTTTCTGCTGAAAAATAAATGTTAGCTACTGTTATGTTTCAGAGCATAGAAGGTAGATGATTAGATTTAATCATCTGTGATGAAGTAGGTGATTAAATTGCTTCTGCATTTAAATGGGTGGTTGTGATTGATGCCCCAAGAGCTATGATCTTGACAATTGCTGTTGTTGGAAAAGGGAAGCAAGCAGGTAGAATTTAATTATTAAAAGCAGCATACACAACAGCATGTATTTGCAGAGGAAAATGAATATAAACATAGTAACTGCTTTTTTTTTTCTGTGTGAACACACGACTGAGTGAGCTGGTTTGCAGCCAGAATGCTCCTCACAACCTGACCATAACAAAGGCATTGATACATGACTGTATCTTGGGGGATAAACAGCACTGGGTGGCTGGGAAGAGGGGGCCTCTGCATTTTCGTGTGTGACTCTCTGCGTGGCTGTTGTGAGGACTGGGCAAAATGTCTACATTCTTTTCCTTATGAGCTTGACGAATGAGTCAGATTTCCTATTAATTTTCAAACCAGTGGCTGCCAGGCTTATGTACAATCTTCAGGACAAACAGAATTAAATCAGAGGAAGCTGTAAAGAGACTGCTTGAGAACCAACAAGGAGTGCCGACACAATAATGCCCAAGCCAGACTCAGGTGCACAGTTTCAGAAGAATTAAGATAAAACCAGCTGGCGGTGTATTTACTAGAGCGCTTCACCCTTCTAGAGCCAAGAGTGTAGAATAGAAACTTTTATGGGATTTCAAAAGCTGCCCAAGCATGTCAGTAAAAAAGCTGACTTGCTGGTATGACCTGTGTAAAGAGAGAGAATGCTGCAGGCAGTAAAGAGGGTTTTGGTTGGTTGGTTGTTGTTTTTGTGTTTGTTTGTCGTTGTTTTTTTTTTTTTTTTTCCCCAGAGATGAGGAATCTCAGTGTGGTAAGAGAATTTAAGGGAAAAAACCTCTAGATCTGTTGGTTGGTTTCACGCTTCAGTCTTGCATGCTTATAACTTTAGGTGGAAGAATAAATAGTGCCTTAATCTGGAGAAATGGATAGCAAGTCCCTCTGAACAGCTGTGTCAAAGGTAAAGGTCTATGTGGAAATCCCCAGGTGAGTCTGACTGCAAAGTGAAGGGGTGGCTGG